ATCAAAAACCAAAACGTAAAATATCAGTTCATCCATGGTAGCTTAATGCTGCGCTTTAAAGGCAACGCTGATGCGACGGAGTTATCGGATCTCCACATCATTGCAGGACATTGTGTCTGAGAATAGTGAGGTGGCCTTTCAGCCCCAATCGCACACCCCTATTTACTGTTGAGGACTTGTAGACTGGAAGATGAGTCAGGATCAGAAGTGAGGTTGGATGCACAGATTTTCAGCGTTTGCTGCCTACCCGGGGTAAGGAGGTGGGGGTAGAAGGGGGGAGAAAAGAAGAAAAAAAACAGGCGACACACCAGGCACAAGGCATTTGGCATGGCACTTCTTTTTTCTTTCATTTTTTTTCCTTCCCACTCACCTAGTGACGACGAAACGCCGAAAATTCACTCACTCAACCACATTTCTCATACTCACTCATCGACCAGCGGATGCAGCGGTGGTTTTAACTGAGGGGGGATAAGATTCTTCAGAGGGGCGTCCTGAACAAAATGGGGCCTCCTCACAGTGGGGAAGGTGGGGGGGGGGGGGGGGGGGGGCTTCCTGCGCAGAGTCGTGTTCAAGAGGAGTGGCGCGGACGGCCTGTGCTCACTCATCAAACTTTTATATATCATATCCAAATAAATCAATCCTGACAGTTAAAAATCCAGAATGATGGTGCTCTAATTAGTCGGAAAAGGGCCTCACTAACCTAGAACAGGACGCACTGCCTCAGAAAAAGGCTTCCCAGCTTAAAACAGTATGCCTACAATGTACAAAGGAGGCCTCCAAATCTAGTCAAAGGGTCTCGCCGTCATGAAACAGGGCGTCCTGATCCAAAACCGCGGCCATCTGACGGGTGACAAGGGTCTCCTGGTCCAGAAATGGGCCTCCTGAATATAGAGGATGCGTCCAAACCCAGAACAGGGGTCTGCCGAAGGTGAGGCTAGATAACATTTTGCCTCACTGTACCATGGGAAGCCATTGTTTTCAAATAATCAAAAGCAATCATGCTCAATCAGGTTGTCTTTTGGCATTCACAAAAAACTGTCACACGCTTGTGTTTTTATAAAAATGGCTGGTGACAAGGCTGGTAAAATCGAGGCGGCCAAGTGGCCAACAAGTAGCGAACGTTATCATACTAGTACTTGGCGATAACATGTGGGTTAGCCATTAACGATGAAACAATCGGCAACTTTTCATGAGCATTTTATAGTCGCTTACTCGCCTCCACAACGACATTTTCAGCCATCGTCAATGCGGAAACATGCAGCTTCTTGTGAGTCTATGCAAGGTCCCTTTTTTGGTAGGCGTTGCAAATGTCAATCCTACGTCATCATTGAACAAGGCAATGGACGCGCTCAATCTGGCATACATTTCCATTCTGGGCGTTTTAGTCCTTTTATGGCCTATACCTAAACTCTGATATATGAAGTGAATGTTCTTTGAAATCAACGAATGACCGGAGCATGTGCTTTCGAATGACTTAAAACGTTGTCTTGGTGAAAAGACGTCAAAAAATTCTGATAAATGATTTCAGTAAGTGATAAGATTTAAGTTTTATAAAGCGAGATTCAGCTACTACCGTTTGGCGGAAGATATAATTTCAGAGACATCTGCTGACGAAGTTTCGTACTATTTTCAAGTCGCTGGTTCGCCCACGGGTAAGATTCTGTTCTTGCTGCATGCTTTGGCATCACTCCATACCAGAGATTGGTTCTTGCATATCTCAGCTTAATCCTGAGCTTTATCTTGGTTCCTGCTGGACCTCTAGATGTTCGAGGCTGAATGTTAGTTCCTGCTGGATCTTTCAATAAAATGTCAGGCTGGATCTTGGTTCTTGCTGGTTCCGTTGGCTTGGGATCAGAACGGATCTTAGTTCTTGCTTGATCTTTCGACTTAAAGGGAATTCCACAGTCATATGGGGTTTTGAACAGAAATAGCCATCTTCAGACCTTTTGGTGTTGTTCACAACCGTGCCCTTCTTAAGACTTTAGCCCATCTAGGTCCTGAGCTGTCAGCGCCGAGTGCAAGCTATTAAAATCTGCATTTTGTCATTTCTCCTTAATTTTAGAACTATACACCAAATGGCGTGTTCCACATTTGTGTGAGGTTTCGAACTGAGGCAGCCATTTTGAGGATCATTCGGTGCAGTTCACATCTCTGACCTTCCTAACACAAAAACCCTTCTAGCTTCTGAGCTCCACGCCCGCGAAGTTTTCCAGACTACTTCCGGGAGTGTTTCAAGGCCACCCAGAAATCCACAACGCCAAAACAATATCATTCGATATGGCATTATATTAGCCATGCGGTGATCAAAGCTAACACAAATATAATTGACGAGTCGTTCTTACCCGTCGTTCGGGAGCACGATTTCCAGATACAGCGGCCGTCACTTGGCTTTCAAGCAATGTTGTGCAAGGTACTATGACGTAATCAAACAATGGCGTGATGAGGAGCATATTAACTACACGGATAAATTGTGTTGTCTTGAGCAGCCTTTCCACTTAAAAGTATACCAAAAGTTATATGAGCGAGCCTTATTTCATCATATCTGATGCTTGCTTTAGTATCTTTAAATATGGAACATTCCCTTCAACGTATGCATAAAACGTCGCGTCAGTGTTATCTAATGCTCAACATTGTAAGGCTAACAGCAGCAATAATATTTTGAAAGCAGTGCTCACAGTAATTGGACAATGAATTTCTACTGCACCAAAGTAAATATTAGGTTTTGTAATGCCAGTTTTCAGCTACAAATGAGAAGGGAGAGTGCATAATTTAGGTTTGCATATCACCAAAATGGATAAGAAATCCCATCCTTCTATATGACATAAAACCACAGGCTATGTCTTCTAACATTGCGTGATAGATTTGTACCGACAGAATAAGAGAATGCTAATTGTTTCAGATCATGGGAAGTCTCGTCATCTCATTACGCTGCACATAAACACGAACGCCATTCGAATACGTTACAATCAGCGTACTGCCGTGACCTATATTCATGAACCAGAGGCAGTCTCGTATATGGTGCTCGCTGTCCTTGAAAAGATAGATCGAGAAACAACACGGAGTAGATACCACATGGAGGCTTTGAAATGACCCATGTTTCTCGTTAACCACCATCGATGTTACATCCCACAACCATCACCGCACCGAAGCGTGTGATACTGTGCGTAATGAAATATACAAAACTTTTTTGCTCCCAAACATTTGCCTCTCCAATGATTTCATTGGCAGTAAGCAATGCTTAAAAAACGTGAGATATTGCCAATTGCTGCAATACAATTCCTACCATAAATTATCTAGGGACTTTCTGAAAATAAACTTTTCATATCTTACAAATCTTGCTGATTGCAACTTTTGATTCTTATGAATGTTCCTGTGTGATGCAACATGTTGAGATGACTTTTTCACATACATCTTACACAGACACATATGTTGGAAGAGATGGAATTGCAGACAGAGCAAACTCTGAATGATAACTATATGTTAAAAACGGAAAACAGCCGTAATACAGATGAAATGTATCCCATGGAGAGCCCTATTATCATGGATGTAAATTGCATGTTCTTTACGCATAGATAGACAGACGCTAGGGCAACTTTTTCAGTTTCGACAACTGATGGCTATATTGACAAGTAAATGAGGCTGAAGCATTGGAAAGCACACAAATTCCGTTCATTTCATTGATCATTGATATCAAATGCAATTTGGCAGGTATGGTTCGCATATGGAACAAGAAAGCTTAAGTGAACCTCACCCTCACAGCAGCAGCCGAGTGCAGTGTGTAGCTGTCTTTATATCGATGGTGCATCTAACTACTGCTCGTTGAAATTGAGAAAATGTGGGTTTTCATTCTTGAGTTATTCAGCAAGTTTTTCACTCTTGAGTTTTCAGCGTGTTTTTCACTCTTAAGTTTCAGGGTGAGTTTGTTTGCCTAAAGGTATTAAATGTGCGCAACCTGGTTTGGTGGTGTGTCAAATCTGCTATGGGTCAGCATGTCACTGGTGCTGTAGCTGAAAAAGTGCGAGCATGATTTTTCAAAATTCCAATGTGTTTAGGATCACACTCCGGTTTTTAGAAAGTTTTAACGCCAGGGGATAGTGATAATGCATGATTTTGCTTGCTGACACCTGACACGCCAAGCCCACCAAGTCTGGCCCACAACCAGGCCAAGAGCCCGCGGGTGTTTGCGAGTCAAATGCTGGTGGGTTGGCAGGTTAAACAGCTGCGTCTTTAGTGAGGACTGGTTCCAGATCTTAGCCACCATGGAGGATAAAGACAAACGAGCAGCATATTGAAGGGGAGTGTGCCATCACCAAAAGGCACTCAAACCAGGGCTATCAGAGCCTGACATTATTGCCACTCTCAACACCTTGACACTGGCCCGGACACCCTGAGAGCGTCAGACAAGACATTTAGCAACGCCGGCAAGCGAAAAGGATGCAGTCAATATCGTCATTTGCCAGTCTCGAACATTACACGTTGGAAAGACGGTGCACTTTACGCATGAAAATACATTATTTTGTCCCTACCTATAACATTCTCGCGTGTACTTGAGAAATAGGGGAAAGAAAAACTTCAGACTCGCAAAAGAAGCTCACGCCATCTGTCGCAATACTCGAGCAGCTGAGCAACATAAAAAAGCAGACGCAAGAGGACACATATAGGGGCGGGTCGAGCGAGGAGTGACCAGTGCTTCACGCCACTGGCGACCACCAGTGGTTATACCTCACGGGCTGACATGTGGATTGTTCCCGGCGCGTCTCCTCACGGTGTGGGAGGATCGGTGCCGACAGGAGTCATAATCGTGCACCACTGACAGGCAGAGGCGGCCCTGGCGGTCACGCTGCATTCCCGCAGGCGCGGCTCACACGGCCCGCTCGCACAGTATAAAACGGCCCGGCGCCGGCTTCAGACATCAGTTCACAGGTCACAGCTCGACTGCAACAGGCGGTCTGACAGTCATGAGGTGTTTTCTGAGCGTCTGCGCACTGTTGGCGACGGCAATGGCCGCTCCCAACCCCGAGGGCGGCTCGTACGGGGCTCCGCCGCCGCTGGACGACGTCGATATAGTCAACCCGGGTCCGCTCGGCCCGCTTGGCCTCCGGGGTCGTGTCGGCCTTAGCCGAGCTCGCTACGCCGGCCGTCTGGGCGGTCCTCTGGGAGGACCCATTGGAGGACCTTTGGGAGGACGACTGGGAGGACGGCGGGGCGCACTGATCGAGAACCAGGGCAACCCACCGCAGCTGCGGCCGGACGGTCTGCTGGACGGGCCGGGCGTGCCCTACAGCTTCAACTGGGCCGTGGACGAACCCGACTACGGCAACAACTACGGCCACGCCGAGGAGAGTGACGGCATCGTGACGCAGGGCGAGTACCGCGTGCTGCTGCCCGACGGCCGCACCCAGATCGTCACGTACCGGGTGGAGGGTGACAGCGGCTACCAGGCTCAGGTCACGTACGAAGGCGAGGCGGTGTTCCCTCTGCCGGGCGAGCCGGGCGGCCCGGCGGCGCTCGGGACGGCCGGCCGTCTGCCAGGACCTCTCGTGCCCCGCCGCCCGCTGGGCCCACGGTCATCTCGACTGGGCGCCGGCCTGACGTCCCCGCGTCGGGACGCCGTCCTTCTGGGCTCCCCGTTCCCGGAGTTGGCTGACGACGTCCCTGCCACGCCCAGCTCCAGCTACGGCTACTAGCATGCAGCCACGTCTGGAGACTGCAACGAATGAGAGCAGCGCGTGATTCGACTCTGAAAAACGAGCGTGTACACGTGCTACCTGAGTGAGACACGCTGCCATGAATGTAAGTTATAAAGTGCAATGCTATTTAGACGTGTGCGTGCTTGTGTATTGTAGGACGAAAGTATGCTCTATTTGCTTGCACCTTGCAATCATTGCAAATACATTGCAAAACGGAATTGCTGGCTATTTTTAGTGTGAGATGTGCGATATTCTGAAGATATTCTTGCAGCAAACCTGCTAGAATCGATCGTCTGTGAATTTCACCACCTCTTGATTGAACTAAAGCTGATGAAAATGGAACCAGATGTCGGTGACTGCACAACACTTGAACCCGCCGATTCAAAACAAACAAGTATTTTCCAAGAGTTTGAGGCACCAACTGATTGGCATCGGCGCCACCAACTGGCGTCTTCAACTAGTATGTGCGTGTTGGTTTGCGGCCGACAGTAGTTTTTCTTAATTGGACACTTCATGAAAGAGGACGGGACTTGGTGGACTGTTCTGTTTGGCTTAGATAGGACCCTTCCCGCTTGTAAGACCACGCCAAGTACCAATTGAAATATGTTATATAATATATAATACAACAGTGACCAATTCAAGCACCATGGAATGAAGGAGAGAGTGGAAAAGCAATGAGGAAAGTATGCGAACAAAACCGAATAATCTTCCGGTTCTAAAACCATCGAAACTATTCATGCTCTGGCTTAACACGAGTTTGGATGGTGTGCATCGTACATGGCGCTCTTGATGCGCGATTTGCCGCCGTTTAGTGTTGCGGCCGGCATGTAGGTTTCAGCAGTTGGTCTTTAATTTTATCTTTGAACACTTGTTACTCCAGCTGCTCGCGATTGGTATGTGAGCACTTCTGTGAGTCTGAAACTTTTCTTGGTTGAACACTCAAGACAGCGGGAATGAGCGCACTGATTTACCTGACATGGTTTACATTAGATCCCTTTCGGCAAGCAATAGCCAGTTCAGGAGTTTGCGGTTAAGGAGAGTGTAAAATGATGTTGCAGAACCACCTGCACCTGGGGGAGCATCGGCCGGGGCATAGCCCGCACCGAGTCCACTACACAGGTTAAGTGCTCAGTGCTAGGACGGGCCCCTACAGTGCCAGGAAGAGGCCCCCGCCAGGGCTCACTCGTAGCTGGTGCGTGCAGCCTGTAGTATGTAGCCTGTAGCCTGTAGCCTGCAGAGTTTAGCATGTAGCATGCAACCTGTAGCTTATAGCGTGTTGCCTGTTGACATGTAGCCATTTTGTCTGCCCAGATAATCGCAGCGTTGCGAGAATGCAGGACAGAGCAATAATGACGAGGAGGCAAATAAAACGGATTTATATTCTAACGTCATTTCAAACTGTTCAAGCTTTGATTTAGAACGAGTTTTGATCGCGTGCGTCGTCGTCTTGAATTTGATTGCTGGCGTTGCATCCTGGAACCACTTATATATATATATATATATATATATATATATATATATATATATATATATATATCCTACCATATCGTGGCGCCCATTGTATCCTGGAACCACGCACTAAATCCAGACCTTTTAGCACTATTGAAATATGATTATTTTCACTCTCGGACGTTGTCTTTGAAGATGTTAGATTACCAATTTGAAAATGCGGTCCCGTCCCAATCCATGTTTTGATGTAAATCTATGATCCGGTTCAATTCAGCCCGTGAACTGATCTACAATCCGTAAATTGATTCAATCTGTGAAGCATTTTACCGCACAACTAATCAAATGCAAATGCTGCCTCTACCTGACTTTAGACCCAAGCCGCGCACCCAAACGGTCAGCTGCTGGTCAAAACTGAACACAGCTGAGGCAAACCGATAGGTAAAAGAAGTGGACTGAAGCCCAGAGTTCACCAGTAACCACCCGGGTAAGCAGAAGATTATTTACTTCTGGTAACCCACTTGATCTTAGATATTTAAGACCCAGTGAAACAAACTCAAAGTGCGTAACCCAGCTACACCGCCCACCACGGACGCCACTCAGAACATCATGGCGCAGCGATGACCAGCGCTCCGTGATTGTGGCCGCGAGAGTCACAAGCTCTTGAACAGACACGTTCAGTCCCCGATTTGCCGTCATACACGGGAGGAGCTCGACCGTTCACCGCGACAGGCAGGACCCAGCGCCATGTGGCGAGGAGCCCTCGATTTGCCGCCATACACGGGAGGAGCTCGACCGTCGGCTGCGACAGGCAGGACCCAGCGCCATGTAGCGCAGTGTGAACTACATCGTCGCATCCAGGCGGCCTGCCAGATTGACTCCCAATGCCGACGCTGATACACTGAACGCTTCGTTGAGGTGGGACCTAACACCGCCCGTCAAGCGGGCACAACCGGACCGGATCTGCCCGCGCGCCTGCCGCAGGTCACCACAGAGGGCTCCCAGGTGTCCCCGATTGTGTCAGACCACTTGCGCCGCGTTGTGGCAAGAATGCGCAGCAGCACTTCGTGTGATGCCCATGTACTTTGCGTTCAGTTTGTGAAACTTGATCTCTCTCTCTCTCTCTCTCTCTCTCTCTCTCTCTCTCTCTCTCTCTCTCTCTCTCCTCTCTCTCTCTCTCTCTCTCTCTCTCTCTCTCTCTCTCTCTCCCTCTCTCTCTCTCCCTCTCTCTCTCTCTCTCTCTCTCTCTCTCTCCCTCTTTCCCTCTCTCTCTCTGCCTCTCTCTGTCACTCTCTGGCTCTCTCTGTCTTGCTCTCTCTATCTCTCTCCTTCCACTGTTATCATTACCTCTCACTGCGTACCCAGTTCATGGAAACTCAATCCAGTAAGCACGACGCACTCCTCCTATTCAAAAGTTTCCCACGTCTGCCGAAAATTGTAACTACCTGCATATCTGTGTCTTGCCTGCCAGTGCGAAGATAACCGAACGCACTGTGTATGAAAAGCTCTTTTATTACTTCGCAACGCACCACCTGTTCTCGTCAAATCAACATGATTTTGATCAAATCACTCAACTGATACTGCGTTTCTCTCTACTAGTGACAAAGTTTTTATATCGGTGAAGTGATAATGCTCTGTCCGCTGGATTTGTCTGAATTTTTGGATGTTATGTTTCGATGTTCGAATTTTTCGATGCCTTCTCTGCAATCTTCGGCCTTACAGTGAAGACGGAACGCTTGTTTAAAAGCTACCTAGCAAGCTACTATCAGTATGTTCGTGCCCACACGTTATCTGACGAGCATGTAGTTTCCCGGTCGCTACTGTACCCTATCGGCACCTTCCTAGTTTCAGGTCTGGGAACCTTGATGTGATCGATTTATGCCACTTACATATGCTTGCATGCAGCCGAATACAATGAGCAAAGTGCTAGCCAGGTTATTGTATCTCGGAAGCCCGGTGGCATGGGTTCTCTTGCTAACCACATGAAACAAAATGGTGCACATCTCTCTCAGTAGTGTGGCAAAAACGGGATGAAGATTAATGCACAGAAAACTCAGCCTATAGCTCTTGGGTTTTATCCAAGTATTCAACGGGCTTCCTAAAATGGGCATTTAATTTATGGAAGCCACTGCCACTGGTTCTCCCGCTGTGCGGAGTCTGACCGCCATGCTTGACCAGCGCATGATATTCTCGGCACATTTGAGGACGTTGTGCGGCGATGTATAGGAACCCTCGGGGTCTCAATCATAGCAATCACAGCCTACCACAGTCTGTTGTGGTTGCGATACTCGAGAGACCCGTATTATCACTGATCGATAGTGTATCACCGTTTGCAGAGCAAGCAACAGTGTTGAAGTATGCCGGCTGAAGAAGCTTATAAACTTCGCAGCAAGAGTCATTTCCGGACAACAATACTCTACGACAGCTTTAACGGTTTTCAGTAAGGATAGGCACTTGTACAACAGCCTCACCCGTCTCAGAAGATCGGAAGAAAGCTGAGCCCGTGGCAGCTGACACCTGACCAACTTTGTGGTCGGTTAGCGACTCCTCCGATCAGGTCCGAGGGCGGGGGTTTACTTGCTTGATCGTGACCGCATTTACTGATTTTACAAATTATTATTATTAAATCGTTACCCGAATAATTGACCTCGTGCGTTTTAGGATTTAGGTTAGAAACCACATGATACGAGGACAGCTAGGTACCGGTTAGGTGACCGATTACTCAGATTTTATTACCATGAATGACCGAGTACGTGCCTTGTGCTATTCGGAACCGTTATCCACTTGACCCACGTTCCATGTATTACGTCACACCAAGCCAAAAAGCCATGCTGCGTCGAATGTGCGTTTCAAAACATATACAAATATAAATACAAATACAAATATTGACACTTACGGGATTTTTCCTTCACCTGCTTTTCATTCGCCTAAATCACATTGCGGCACAGTGGCATCCTGTTACCAACTTTGCAGCGGCTTTGTTCTCCTGGGTTTGTTCTTATCATAGCATTTTGACAATGGTGCGGTGCAAAAGGCATGTCGTCAATAAGCATTTCATTTTTTCGGGTTTTCACACTCGGCAAAGTAGCATTCGTTGAAACACCCTTGTTCAATTTGTTCTGTAACCCATCTGCCCGTACCCAGATCTGAAATTGTCCTCAAGTCTATTCACAACGCTGTACCTGTTACCCATTACATATGAGCACCCGTGAGTTTACCCAACCAGTGAGTCGTATCGCACAGGCCCCTTTGTGCGTTGGAACCTGCTAGAAAGCAGGACAACGATTTGACAATATGCAAGGTGACAACTAGAATAAATTGAGAGGCACTAGCAGAACGGCATCAGTGCTTTGCAGCACCGGCGAGCAAAATAACTGAAATAGCAAGGTCTTGACCCGAGTGTTATCCTGGCGGTGTGGGACGTTTCAACTCTGTTGGCTGTGTGGGAGAATGGCCTTCAAAAGTGGCCATAACCTTGCGCCGATGGGAGCCGGAGGCGGCCCTGGCGGTCACGCTGCATCTGACACCTATCCCCGCAGGCGCGGCTCCCACGGCCCGCTCGCACAGTATAAAACGGCCCGGCGCCGGTTTCAGACATCAGTTCACAGGTCACAGCCCGACTGCAACAGGCGGTCTTACATACAGTCATGAGGTGTTTTCTGAGCGTATGCGCACTGCTGGCGACGGCGATGGCCACTCCCATCCCCGAGGGTGACTCTTACGGGGCTCCGCCGCCGCTGGACGACGTCGATATAGTCAACCCGGGTCCGCTCGGCCCGCTTGGCCTCCGGGGTCGTGTCGGCCTTGGCAGCGCTCGCTACGCCGGCCGTCTGAGCGGTCCTCTGGGAGGACCCATTGGAGGACCTTTGGGAGGACGATTGGGAGGACGGCGGGGCGCACTGATCGAGAACCAGGGCAACCCGCCGCAGCTGCGGCCGGACGGTCTGCTGGACGGGCCGGGCGTGCCCTACAGCTTCAGCTGGGCCGTGGACGAACCCGACTACGGCAACAACTACGGCCACGCCGAGGAGAGTGACGGCATCGTGACGCAGGGCGAGTACCGTGTGCTGCTGCCCGACGGCCGCACCCAGATCGTCACGTACCGGGTGGAGGGTGACAGCGGCTACCAGGCTCAGGTCACGTACGAAGGCGAGGCGGTGTTCCCTCTGCCGGGCGAGCCGGGCGGCCCGGCGGCGCTCGGGGCGGCCGGCCGTCTGCCAGGACCTCTCGTGCCCCGCCGCCCGCTGGGCCCACGGTCATCTCGACTGGGCGCCGGCCTGACGTCCCCGCGCCGGGACGCCGTCCTTCTGGGCTCCCCGTTCCCGGAGTCGGCTGACGACGCCCCTGCCACGCCCAGCTCCAGCTACGGCTACTAGCATGCAGCCACGTCTGGAGACTGCGGCGAACGAGAGCAGCGCGTGATTTCTCTCTGAAAAACGAGCGTGTACACGTCCTACCGAAGCGAGCAACGCTGCCATGAATGTAAGTTTTGAAGTGTAATGCTGTTTAGACATGTGTGTGTGCGCGCGCGCGCGTGTGTGTGTGTGTGTGTGTGGTAGAAAGAAGACACGCTCTATTTGTTTGCACTTTGGATGCATTGCAAATACATTGCAATAATAAATTGTTTGCTATTTTTTAAGTGTGAGATGTGCGATATTTTGAAGACATTCGCGCACCAAACCTTCTAGAATCGACCGTCGATGAATTTTACCACATTTTTGCTGAACTGAAACTGATGGAAATGAAGCCAGCTGTCGGTGACTGCGCAACACTTAACGCGTCGATTCAAAATAAATATGGATTCTCCAAGAGCAGTATTCAAGGCCACTTTCAAGTAATTAGCACCGACGCCACCAGCTGGCGTTTTCGACCAGTATGTACGCATTGGTTTGCGGTCCGTTAGTAGTTTCTTTTTTATTTGACACTTGGTCAAAGAAAACGTGAATCGATGGACTGTTCTGTTCGGTTTGGCTTAGCCCCCCTTCCAGCCGGTAGTGACCTTTTCAAGTGCCAGTTAAAATATATTAATACATAATATAAAGCATAATACACAATGACCAATTCCGGCGACATGGGATGTAGGACAGAATGGAAAAGGAATGAGGACAGGATGCGAATGAAACCGAATAATCTTCTGGTACCGACAAAATCGAAACTATTCATGCTCTGGCTTAACATGAGCTTTAATCACGTGCGTCGTACATGGCGCTCTTGATGCGCGATTTGCTGCCGTTTAGTGTTGTGCCCGGCCGGTAGTTTTCCGCACTTGGTCTTTAATTTTTATTTTGAGCTATTGTTATTTCAACTAATCACGGCTGGTATGTGAGCATTTCTGTCAGCCTGCTGCTTCTTTTAATTGGACACTCAAGCCGGCGGGAATGAGCGCACTGATTTGCCTGATATACTTTGCATTAGATCCCCTTCGGCCAGCAATAGCCATTTCAGCGTTTGCGGTTAAGGAGAGTGGATCACGATGTTGCAGAACCACCTGCACCTGGGGGAGCATCGGCTGGGGCATAGTCCGCACCGAGACCACTACACAGGTTAAGTGCTCAGTGCTAGGACTGGGCCCCTACAGTGCCAGGAAGAGGCCTCCGCCAGGGCTCACTCGTAGCTAGTGCATGCAACCTGTAGTATGTAGCCTGTAGCCTGTAGCCTGTAGCCTGCAGAGTTTAGCATGTAGCCTGCAACCTGTAGCCTATGGCGCGTTGCCTGTAGACATGTTCCTGCCCGGATAATCGCGGCGTTGCGAGAGTGCAGGACAAAGAAATAATGACGAGAAGGAGGCCATTTAAACGGATTGATATTCTAACGTCATTTCAAACTGTTCAGGCTTTGATTTAGCACGAGTTTTGATCGCGTGCGTCGTTGTCGCGAGGTTGATTGCTGGCGTTGCTGCCAGCCGTTTGTTGAGCAGGCTTGGAAGTGATCCGCATGATGTTTGTGATGTCTATTTTCACTTAGCTTTATTATTACTTAGCTTATGACAGTCATGCGCCTTAAGCCAAAAAATATCCTAATAACCGATCTCAAGAATTCATGAACAGCACCCTATTGTATCCTGGAACCACGAATGAAATCCAGACCTTTTAGCACTATCGAAATATAATTATTTTCACTCTCGCACCTTGTCTTTGAAGATGTTAGATTACTCGATAGCTTCACCTCTCATTATCAGAACATTGGCATCAATTACAAAAGAAGACCATTAAGTCCAATCCCTTGAATCGGTTGATTTCTGGGACCAGTGCCCACGCTAAGCACTGCTTATGACGTGTACGGCGTTCCCAACACCCGACCAGGACACTTCCGTTCAGCAGCAGCATTTTACGGCAAAAGCTCAACGTTCCGCGATGCTCAACACGGAGCGTCAGGCTGGGAAATTCTGCAAATTGGAGCTCTAGTTTGCCATTGCAGCATATTTGAGTTTCATTCATTCATATCAAGTTGTCGATATAATCTGTTAATCACAAAATACTTTGGTGGGATATGTGGCTAAAGTATGCTTTATGTAACCCGCGGCCGCTTGGAATTTAAAGTAGGGTATTTTTTGGTTTAAATATTCGTTTTTGAGTTGGTGTCCTAATTGCGCATTAGAGGTTTTTCATTGACATGCTCCACTTAATCGGTGTTCAATCCGTTTAATCCGTGTGAGCTGACCAATTTGAAAATGCGGTCGGGTCCCAATCCATGTTTTGATGTAAATTTATGATTCGGTCCAGTCTAGCCCGTGAACTGATCTACAATCCGTAAATTGATCTAATCTGTGAAGTGTTTTACTGCACAACTGATCAAATGTAAACGCTGCCTCTGGCTGACTTAAGACGCAAGCCACGCATCCAAATGGTCAGCTGCTGGTCAAAACTGAACGTAGTTGAGGCATGCCTATAAATAAAAGAGGTGGACAGGAGCCCAGAGTTCACCAGTAACCACCCGGACGGGCAGTGACATTATTTACTGCTGGTAACCCACCCAATCTTAGATAAACCCCAGTGAAACAAGCTCAAAGTGCGGAGCTCGCCACGCATGCCACCCAGGACATCATGTCACAGCGATGACAAGCGCTCCGTGATGCTGACCGCGAGAGCTACAACCTCTTGAACAGACGCGTCCAGTCCCCGACTTACCCCACTCTAGCAATGTGGGAGTGAAAAGTTCAAAAAATGCCTCCTGAAGAAAAATAAAAGCTGAATGTCACAATTTTAGCAATCATTTTTGCAGATTTTTAGTCAAGTTAGTTGATTACAAAATTTGACCAAACAACCCTGAGTTTCTATAAATATCTAATTATTTCTGTTTTTCTTGGTCTCATACGGGTATGACATAACTTTATTTTTCCTTCCTTTGCAGTCATCTTTAAAGCACCATCTATGGTTTGTAATGTTGACCAATTTTTTCTGCAAAATGTTTCAACTGCAAATTTGTATATATTTTTTACATAAATTGGATTAATTCACCAGCTGCCTCGGCATGTTTGATATGCGCCTAACAGGTGGTAAAAAAGTAGGAGAATATTTGAAGCACAGAACTCATTCTTTCTGCCATTTTTGCTCTGCTAAAACCCCAGTTAGCGGTTTTTGGTTCATGGCGGGGCTCAATTATGATAAATCTAGGCAACTCCGGTTTCACTACCTCACCACATTACATTATCCTGCTGCGAAGCTTTGGGACAGACCTGGCGCAGCTCATACTTAAGTGTTTGTTAGCGAAATACATTTTAATCTTGTGGATTGGTGGGCATGATTGATGTTCATATTTTGTGGGTGCATTAGATGACCGTTTGTCAGCAAACCGTGCGAAAGACGCCGAATGTGGGGTCACGTGCGTGGAGGCGCAGAAAGAGCCCTTCCCTTAAAAAGCCGTAAGTTTCTCCCGTGGAGCAACTAATTGGTAACCTTACCTGCTTTCATCACATGATTGGTAACCACAATTATTCATTTTCTGCTTAAATCTATCGAGTTTTGATGATAAGAAAGTTATTATTCCACAAGACAAGCAATGACACTACGTTGTTTCATAGCTTGGCTTTTTGCCCCCAATTGGTTAAAGTGGTCCTTCATATCTGCTTTTACAGGATGTTGTCCATAGTTGCCATAGTTTTCTGACTGGCTAATGACTGCAATGTATGATATGTATATAGGTTGGCTGCTAGCAGTCGCAACCAAGAGGTGTCGCCACTTACGCGGAGGAGTGCTTGAATACAACCGGGGTCGGGTACTCAGCTCGGGTCTGTGGGTTGTTCGGGAGTCCGGAATACAGAGCCTCACGCGGCTGGTGCGTCGAGCGAGTTGTCTCATTGGTCATCCACGGATAGATCATTGTAGACATGCACCATATTTTTAGCACAAGAATACTCTAAGCAATTACAACATGAGGTAGATATTGGTTTTTAGGAAATGGACCATCGCATTTTACATGTGAAGCCAACATCTCAAACTTGAAGTCATTAAATATGAAAAGCCAAACGTTAATGGACGCATTTGTTGCTGGTGAAATGACAAGCAGCAAAAGTGGTTTTGTGGCCATCTATCAGATACGTCATGTTTGGCGGAGAAAAATTGGTTTTTGGATCATACCATCGCCATTGATAGAGGCTAACCGTGACAATGAGAACAAACTGTTCAAAGTGATTTGAGAGATTTTGGCCGATATTGCCTAGTGTCCAGAAGCTGACACAAATTAATTGAAGCAAACCGAAAGTTGTAGCCAACCAAAAACAAGCTTGATCATGTTTTATCACAAGTGTTGATGGCAAGAAAAAGGTGGGGTGAGTTCAGATGATGTTCAGCACATGGGCTATTCTAAGTTAGACCAAGCTGGTTAATTGCATGAGAAGTGCCAATAGGAATTTTGCTAGAATCATTGACTCACAAATGCTGCTGTGATACAGGTAGGTGAGACAGGATGATGTAAGATAAGGCTTGTTAAGGTTAGGCACAGTTAGGTCACTTTCAATGAAATCAACATTGATATGTTGCAAGAAAGAACGACGTGATATTTATATTTCATGACCCAGGTTGAGCAGAAGCCAGAGGTATAGCTGTGGTGCTTGATTAAGTGATATGCGGATGTGGAGAAGTCAATAGCTTTTGTTTTTGAATGCTTTGTACTTGTTGAATTTTGGGTTGTTGTGTTTGTTTTGCATTCCTTTGCTTTATTTTGTGATAACAAATCCTGTGGAGGGAAGTGCAAAATGCAGCAGCAAAACGTTGGTGTTGGAGGGTTTTCGATGCTCGTTGCACTATTGTAAAATAACTGTGCTTTAATGTATTCTGCATGACTGTAATGACCAAAGATGTTAAAACATTTTTGTCATGTTTCTGATATTACATCCATGCCAACTTGAAATGCACGTTTTTGTTTGCTGGAGCATCTCTCACTGACTCATAGGTTCCAATTTTTTTAAGTTAATTTTTTTCACTCCTGTACGGCCTTGTTGTGATAAAATGTTTCACTCCCACTCTAGTGTTATGAGCGATTCTAGCTCACTGCTTTGCTTCTGGTAACCCACCCAAACTTAAATACTCAAGCCCCAGTGACACGAACTCAAAGTGGGTAGCCCAGCTGAATCGCCCATCACGGGCGCCGCCCAGGACACTATGTCGCAGCGACGACCAGCGCTCTGTGATGGTGACCGCGAAAGCTACAAGCTCTTGAACAGACCTTTAGCTGCCAGAGGGGCCCAGCGCCAGGTGGCGCAGTGTGCCCACCGTCGCGTGCAGGCGGCCGCCAGATTGAATCCCAGGCCGGCGCCATGAGGCGTAACCTAACACCGCCCGTCAAGCGGACACAACCTGACCAGATCTGCCCGCGCGCCTGCCGCGGACCGCCACGGAGGGCTCCCAGATCCCCCTCCCCACTGGACTGAGCAACCCGTGCCACGTTGTGGCAAGAATGCCCAGTAGCACTTTGTGTGGCGCCCACGTGCTTTGCGTTCGCATTGTGAAACTTTGTATTCATTTTTTTATTTCTCTATATTATATCATTATATCATATTTTTTTCTCTCTCTCTCCTCTCTTTCTCTCTTTCTCCCTTTCTCCCCCTCACTCTCTATCTCTCTGTCCCTCTCTCTCCTCTGTTGTCATTACCTCTCGCTGCGTTCCCAATTCATGAAAACTCATGCCAGACGTCTGACGCACTCCTATTCAAAAGCTTCCCACACCTGCTAAAGCTTTTAACTATCGGCTTATTTGTATTTTGTCTACCATTGCGAAGATAACAGAACGCGTCGTGTATGAACAGCTCTTTTATTACTTTGCAACCGACCGCCTGCTCTCGTCTAATCAACATGATTCTAGATCAAATCACTCGACTGGTACTGCGTTTGTCTCTATTACTGACAAAGCTCTCACTGCAGGAGTCATACTGCTCCGTGTGGTGGATTTGTCTAAATGTTTCGCAATTACTCCGCATGGCCACCTTCTCCGCAAGCTTCGGCCTTACAGTGTAGACGAACGCTAGTTTAAAAGCTGCCTAGCAAACTATTATCAGCATGTTCGTGCCCAAAGGTTATCTGACGAACATGTAACTCCTCGGTCGTTACTGAACCCTATCGGCACCCTCCTAGTTTCAGGTTTGGGACCCTTGCTGTATTCGATTTATGCCACTTACATATCCTCGCACGCAGACGAAGACAATGTGCAATACGCTGACGATAGCCAGATTCTCGTATCTTGGAGGCCCGGTGGCATGTTTCTCTTGTTAACTACATGAAAAAAATCGTGTGCAGCTCTCTCGGTGGTGTGGCAAAACAAGATGAAAATAGACGCACGGAAAAGTTAGTCCATAGCTTTGTGTTTTTTTTACCAAAGCATTCAGCCCGTTTCATGCAATCGGCATTCAATTCATGAGACCCACTGTCGGTGGTGATCCCGCTGTGCAGGGTCTGGGTGCCATATTTGACCATCGCGTGGCATTCTTGGCACACACTGACGAAGTTCTGCGGCAGTGTATCTGAATCCTCTGGTGTCCGAATCACGGACCTCGCACGTTTTAAGGTTTAGGTCAAAAACCACATGCTACCAGGACAGGTAGGTACCGATGAGGTGACCGACTACACAGCTCCTTCTACCATGCATGACCGGGTGCATGCTTTATGTTATTCGGGAGCGTAATCCACTTGACCACAGCACTGGCGATCGAAATAACTCAAATAGCAAGGTCTTGACCCGAGTATTATCCTGGCGGTGTGGGACGTCTCAACTCTGTTGGCTGTGTGGGAGAACGACATTGGAAAGTGGCCATAACCATGCGCCGATGGGAGCCGGAGGAGGCCCTGGCGGTCACGCTGCATCTGACACCTATCCCCGCAGGCGCGGCTCGCACGGCCCGCTCGCACTGTATAAAACGGCCCGGCGCCGGCTTCAGACATCAGTTCACAGGTCACAGCCCGACTGCAACAGGAGGTCTTACATACAGTCATGAGGTGTTTTCTGAGCGTCTGCGCACTGCTGGCGATGGCGATGGCCGTCCCCAACCCCGAGAGTGACTCGTACGGGGCTCCGCCGCCGCTGGACGACGTCGATATAGTCAACCCGGGTCCGCTCGGCCCGCTTGGCCTCCGGGGTCGTGTCGGCCTTGGCAGCGCTCGCTACGCCGGCCGTCTGGGCGGTCCTCTGGGAGGACCCCCTGGAGGAACTTTGGGAGGACGATTGGGAGGACGGCGGGGCGCACTGATCGAGAACCAGGGCAACCCGCCGCAGCTGCGGCCGGACGGGCTGCTGGACGGGCCGGGCGTGCCCTACAGCTTCAGCTGGGCCGTGGACGAACCCGACTACGGCAACAACTACGGCCACGCCGAGGAGAGTGACGGCATCGTGACGCAGGGCGAGTACCGCGTGCTGCTGCCCGACGGCCGCACCCAGATCGTCACGTACCGGGTGGAGGGTGACAGCGGCTACCAGGCTCAGGTCACGTACGAAGGCGAGGCGGTGTTCCCTCTGCCGGGCGAGCCGGGCGGCCCGGCGGCGCTCGGGGCGGCCGGCCGTCTGCCAGGACCTCTCGTGCCCCGCCGCCCGCTGGGCCCACGGTCATCTCGACTGGGCGCCGGCCTGACGTCCCCGCGTCGGGACGCCGTCCTTCTGGGCTCCCCGTTCCCGGAGTTGGCTGACGACGTCCCTGCCACGCCCAGCTCCAGCTACGGCTACTAGCATGCAGCCACGTCTGGAGACTGCGGCGAACGAGAGCAGCGCGTGGTTCGAATCTGAAGAACGAGCGTGTACAGGTACTACCCGAGCTAATGCTGCCGTGAATGTAAGTTATAATGTGCAATGCTACTTAGAGGTGTGCGTGTGTGTGTATGTGTTGTAGGAAGAAAGCATCCTCCATTTGTTTGCACTTGGACGCGTTGCAAATACATTGTAAACAAATAGTTGCTGGCTCTTATTAACTCGTGAGCTGCGCGGTATTTTGAATGTATTCTTGCAGCAAGCCTGCTAGATTCGACCGTCGGTGAAAAGGCGATGAATATGTCCCTGACTGCGCCGCACTTCAACGCGTTTATTCAAAATAGACACAGATTCTCCAAGAGCGATGTTCAAATCTATTCTCAACTGATTAGTGTCGCCGCCACCAGCTGCGTTTTTGATTAGGGTGTGCGTGTTAGTTTGTGGTCCGCCAGCAGTTTTCTTAATTGGGCGCTTGATTAAGGCAAACGGGAATTGGTGTACTGTTTGTTTGTTTTGGTTTCGATTAGGGCCCTTTCTGCCAGTAATGGCCATTTGACTTACCAATTGAAGTATGTGATGTTATATATAACAGTGACCTATTCCAGCACCATGGGATGAATTGAAAAGTGGAAAATAATTTGGGAAATGATGCGAATGAAACCGAATAGTCTTCTGGTTCTGACGCCGTCGGAAGTGCTCACTCTCTGGCTTAACACGAGTTTGGATCGCGTGCGTCGTACGTAACGCCCTTGATGCGCGATTTGCAGCTCTTTATGGTTGCGGCCAGCAGGTAGTTTTCCGCCCTTGGTCTTTAATTTTGGTTTTGAGCTATTGTTATTCAAACTAATCACGATTGGCATGCGGGTATTTCAATCAGTCTTTAGCTTTTCTTAATTGGGCACTGAAGACGGCGGTAATGAGCGCACTGATTTGCCTGGTCTGGTTTGCATTAGATTCCTTTCTGCCAGCAATGACCATTTCAGCGCTATGGGGTTATGGCGAGTGGATAATGATGTTGCAGAACCACCTGCACCTGGGGGTGCATCGGCCGGGGCATAGCCCGCACCGAGACCAATACACAGGTTAAGTGCTCAGTGCCGGGACGGGCCCCTACAGTGATAGCCTAGCACTGTTGGGGAGCCCGTCCTAGTACTGCTAGGACGGGGTCCCTGCCGGGACTCACTCGTGGCTAGCACATGCAGCCTATAGGCTGTAGCATGTAGTCTGTAGCCTGTAGCGCAGCGTCATGGAATTACCGACTTTGGGTGCAAAGCAATACCCTATGAGGAGGAATTTTCCCCCCTTTTCCCAATTTTTGATCGGAACTTTTCACTCCTACCTGATGTTGTCTAACCACACATACCAAACCCATATTTCCCATTAAGAGGTTTTCAGGTGTCTTCGAAAAACGCCCTCACTTGAAACCATCATTCATAAACAAGGCTACACAAACCCTGGACGCCCATGGCCATATCCTGCCTCACCTACATCTGAATCATGCCTATGCATTTTCAGAGCAGGCGCACTAGGTACCTTCAAGCCCGAAAGCATCAACGAATCCAGCCGCTTGCATGCTTCAAGTTTGGTTTGTTTACGAAATGCATGACAGTCTTCAGCTGTGTGTTAAATGCAAGATTTTCACGTAAACCCAATTTTGGGGGGCCACACCACGCAAACACTACAGGAAAGCAAAGCCCGATGCAAACACAAGGAAAGCGTGGCAGATAATTTCACTCCATATATTTATTTTACCCGAAGAAACTTGACCACAAAATTACACCACTCCCGTAATGTGGGAGTGAAAAGTTCAAAAAATGACTCCTCAAGGAATCATATCTGAATGTCACACTTTGAACACACTTCCGCAGATTTTTAGTCAAGTTGTTTAGTCAAGTTTAGTCAAGTTTAGTTAGTCAAGTCAAGTTTAGTTAGTTAGTCAAGTTAGTCAAGTCAAGTTAGTTAGTTTAGTCAAGTTGATTACAAAATTTGACCAAACAACCCTGAGTTTCTATAAATATCTAATTATTTCTGTTTTTTCTTGGTCTCATACGGGTATGACATAACTTTATTTTTCCTTCCTTTGCAGTCATCTTTAAAGCACCATCTATGGTTTGTAATGTTGACCAATTTTTTCTGCAAAATGTTTCAACTGCAAATTTGTATATATTTTTTACATAAATTGGATTAATTCACCAGCTGCCTCGGCATGTTTGATATGCGCCTAACAGGTGGTAAAAAAGTAGGAGAATATTTGAAGCACAGAACTCATTCTTTCTGCCATTTTTGCCCTGCTAAAACCCCAGTTAGCGGTTTTTGGTTCATGGCGGGGCTCAATAATGATAAATCTAGGCCACTCCGGTTTCACTACCTCACCACATTACATTATCCTGCTGCGAAGCTTCGGGACAGACCTGGCGCAGTTCATACTTAAGTGTTTGGCAGCGAAATACATTTTAATCTTGTAGGTTGTTGGGCGTAATTGATGTTCATATTTTGTGGGCGCGTTAGATGACCAATTCTGTCAGCAAACCATGCGAAAGACACCGAATGTGGGGGCGCGTGCGTGGAGGCGCAGAAAGAACCCTTCCCTTAAAAAGCCTGTAAGTTTCTCCTGCGGAGCAGCTAATTGCTAACCCAACTGCCTTCATCACATGAGTGGTAACCATAGTTATTCATTTTCTGCTTAAATGTATCGAGTTTTGTTGATAAGAAAAATGATGATACCACAAGACAAGAAATCACACTATGTTTTTCCATAACTTGGCTTTTTGCCCCCAATTGGTTAAAGTGCTCCCCCATGTCTGCTTTTACAGGATGTTGTTCATAGTTGCCATAGTTTGCTGACTGGCAAATGACTGTACTGTAGACATGCACTATATTCTTAGCACAAGAATACTCTTATCAATTACAACATGAGCTAGATATTAGTTTTAGCAAATAAAACCATTTTACATGTGAAGCCAACATTTCAAACCTTAAGTCATTAGATGTGAAAAGCCAAACGTTAATGGACACATTTGTTGCTGGTGAAACGGCAAGCAGCAAAAGCGGTTTTGTGGCCATCTATAAGTTACGTTGTGTTTGGAGGAGAAATATTGGTTTTGGATCATGCTCACCATCGTCGTTGATAGAGGCTAACCGTGAAAATGAGAACAAACTATTCAAAGTGATTTGAGAGATTTTGGCCTATACTGCCTAGTGTCCACAAGCTGACACAAATTAATTGAAGCAAACCGAAAGTTGCAGCCAACCAAAAACCAGCTTGATCATGTTTTATCACAAGTGTTAATGGCAAGAAATAGGTGGGGCGAGTTCAGATGATGTTCAGCACATGGGCTACTCTAAGTTAGACCAAGTTGGTTAATTGCATGAGAAGTGGCAATAGGATTTTTGCTAGAATCATTGACTCACAAATGCTGCTGTGATACAGGTAGGTGAGACAGGATGATGTAAGATAAGGCTTGGTAGGTTAGGCCTAGTTAGGTCACTTTCAGTGAAATAAACATTGATATTTTGCAAGAAAGAACGACATGATACTTATATTTCCTGACCCAGGCTGAACAGAAGCCAGAGGTATAGCTGTGGTGCTTGATTAAGTGATATGCGGATGTGGAGAAGTCAATGTCTTTTGTTTTTGAATGCTTTGTACTTGTTGAATTTTGGGTTGTTGTGTTTGTTTTGCATTCCTTTGCTTTATTTTGTGATAACAAATCCTGTGGAGGGAAGTGCAAAATGCAGCAGCAAAACGTTGGTGTTGGAGGGTTTTCGATGCTCGTTGCACTATTGTAAAATAACTGTGCTTTAATGTATTCTGGTTGACTGTAATGACCAAAGATGTTAAAACATTTTTGTCATGTTTCTGATATTACATCCATGCCAACTTGAAATGTATGTTTTTGTTTGCTGGAGCATCTCTCACTGTCTCATAGGTTCCAACTTTTTAAAGTTAATTTTTTCAATCCTGTACGGCCTTTTTGTGATGAAGTGTTTCACTCCCAACCTAGTGTTACGAGCGATTCTAGCTCACTGCTTTACTTCTGGTAACCCACCCAAACTTAAATACTTAAGCCCCAGTGAAACGAACTCAAAGTGCGTAGCCCAGCTGCATCGCCCATCACGGGCGCCGCCCAGGACACTATGGCGCAGCGACGACCAGCGCTCTGTGATGGTGACCGCGAAAGCTACAAGCTCTTGAACAGACCTTTAGCTGCCAGAGGGGCCCAGCGCCAGGTGGCGCAGTGCGCCCACCGTCGCGTGCAGGCGGCCCGCCAGATTGAATCCCAGGCCGGCGCCGTGAGGCGTAACCTAACACCGCCCGTCAAGCGGACACAACCTGACCAGATCTGCCCGCGCGCCTGCCGCGGACCGCCACGGAGGGCTCCCAGATCCCCCTCCCCACTGGACTGAGCAACCCGTGCCACGTTGTGGCAAGAATGCCCAGTAGCACTTTGTGTGGCGCCCACGTGCTTTGCGTTCGCATTGTGAAACTTTGTATTCATTTTTTTATTTCTCTATATTATATCATTATATCATATTTTTTTCTCTCTCTCTCCTCTCTTTCTCTCTTTCTCCCTTTCTCCCCCTCACTCTCTATCTCTCTGCCCCTCTCTCTCCACCGTTGTCATTACCTCTCGCTGCGTTCCCAGTTCATGAAAACTCATGCCAGACGTCTGACGCACTCCTATTCAAAAGCTTCCCACACCTGCTAAAGCTTTTAACTATCGGCCAATTGGAATTTTGTCTACCATTGCGAAGATAACAGAACGCGTCGTGTATGAACAGCTCTTTTATTATTTCGCAACCGACCGCCTGCTCTCGTCTAATCAACATGATTCTAGATCAAATCACTCGACTGGTACTGCGTTTGTATCTATTACTGACAAAGTTCTCAGTGCAGGAGTCATACTGCTCTGTGTGCTGGATTTGTCTAAATGTTTCGCAATTACTCCGCATGACCACCTTCTCCGCAAGCTTCGGCCTTACAGTGTAGACGAACGCTAGTTTAAAAGCTGCCTAGCAAACTACTATCAGCATGTTCGTGCCCAAAAGGTTATCTGACGAACATGTAACTCCTCGGTCGTTACTGAACCCTATCGGCACCCTCCTAGTTTCAGGTCTGGCTTCCTTGCTGTATTCGATTTATGCCACTTACATATCCTCGCACGCAGACGAAGACAATGTGCAATACGCTGACGATAGCCAGATTCTCGTATCTTGGAGGCCCGGTGGCATGTTTCTCTTGTTAACTACATGAAAAAAATCGTGTGCATCTCTCTCGGTGGTGTGGCAAAACAAGATGAAAATAGACGCACGGAAAAGTTAGTCCATGTTTTTTTTTTACCAAAACATTTAGCGCGTTTCATACAAGCGGCATTCAATTCATGGGAGCCACTGTCGGTGGTGATCCCGCTGTGCAGGGTCTGGGTGCCAATTTGACCATCGCGTGGCATTCTTGGCACACACTGACGAGCGTGTGTTCTGCGGCAGTGTGTCTCAATCCTCTGGTGTCTGAATCACGGACCTCGCACGTTTTAAGGTTTAGGACAAAAACCACATGTTACCAGGACAGGTAGGTACCGATGAGGTGACCGACTACACAGCTCCTTCTACCATGCATGACCGGGTGCATGCTTTATGTTATTCGGGAGCGTAATCCACTTGACCACAGCACTGGCGATCGAAATAACTCAAATAGCAAGGTCTTGACCCGAGTGTTATCCTGGCGGTGTGGGACATCTCAACTCTGTTGGCTGTGTGGGAGAATGGCCTTCAAAAGTGGCCATAACCATGCGCCGATGGGAGCCGGAGGCGGCCCTGGCGGTCACGCTGCATCTGACACCTATCCCCGCAGGCGCGGCTCGCACGGCCCGCTCGCACTGTATAAAACGGCCCGGCGCCGGCTTCAGACATCAGTTCACGGGTCACAGCCCGACTGCAACAGGAGGTCTTACATACAGTCATGAGGTGTTTTCTGAGCGTCTGCGCACTGCTGGCGATGGCGATGGCCGTCCCCAGCCCCGAGGGTGACTCGTACGGGGCTCCGCCGCCGCTGGACGACGTCGATATAGTCAACCCGGGTCCGCTCGGCCCGCTTGGCCTCCGGGGTCGTGTCGGCCTTGGCAGCGCTCGCTACGCCGGCCGTCTGAGCGGTCCTCTGGGAGGACCCATTGGAGGACCTTTCGGAGGAAGATTGGGAGGACGGCGGGGCGCACTGATCGAGAACCAGGGCAACCCGCCGCAGCTGCGGCCGGACGGGCTGCTGGACGGGCCGGGCGTGCCCTACAGCTTCAGCTGGGCCGTGGACGAGCCCGACTACGGCAACAACTACGGCCACGCCGAGGAGAGTGACGGCATCGTGACGCAGGGCGAGTACCGCGTGCTGCTGCCCGACGGCCGCACCCAGATCGTCACGTACCGGGTGGAGGGTGACAGCGGCTACCAGGCTCAGGTCACGTACGAAGGCGAGGCGGTGTTCCCTCTGCCGGGCGAGCCGGGCGGCCCGGCGGCGCTCGGGGCGGCCGGCCGTCTGCCAGGACCTCTCGTGCCCCGCCGCCCGCTGGGCCCACGGTCATCTCGACTGGGCGCCGGCCTGACGTCCCCGCGTCGGGACGCCGTCCTTTTGGGCTCCCCGTTCCCGGAGTCGGCTGACGACGCCCCTGCCACGCCCAGCTCCAGCTACGGCTACTAGCATGCAGCCACGTCTGGAGACTGCGGCGAATGAGAACAGTGCGTGGTTCGACTCTGCAAACCGAGGGCATGCAAGCGCGGCTCTGTAATGACTGTAAATTATAAAGTGCAGTGCTATTGAGGTGTGTGTTTGTATGTGTATATGTATGTGTGTTGCAACAAAGTATGCTCGGTTTGTTCGCAATTTGCATGCACCCCAAATACAACATGAATTGCTGAGCATATTTTAGTGACTTGCCGAGTGTGAACTGTGCAATATTCTCAAAGTATTTTTGCGGCGTCTGCCAAAATCGACCGTCAAGATGTTTTACCACGTCTTGATTGAGTTCAAGAGAACTGAAAAGGAAACAGCACGTATCAGCGAATGCATAGCAACCAGATGCTTCAATTCAAAACTAACACGGGTTTCTCCAAGAGCGATGTTCAAGTGAAGTAAATCAGTTTTGACATTCGCTATTAATATGTGGGTGTCGGTTTGCTGTCAATAGTTTGTCCCTAGCCTGGACACCTGATCAAAGAAGACGGAAATTGGCGGTGTGAATTGATTGGTCTGGTTTGAATCAGTCCTTGCAGCCAGTTGTGACCTTTTCTACGCTATGGGTTGAAGGAAAGTGAACAGGGGTGGTGCAAAACCACATGCACATGAGTGGGGGAGGGGGTCCATTTGTCGTGACTTAATCCGCACAGGGTAGGGGCTATGTGCTGGGCGTTCGGACGGGGTCCCCACCAGGGTTCACTTACGCTCACTCATGGCTGGTGTATGTAGCTGTTGCGTTGTTACGGAGTGCGCCGGTTGCAATGTGTGCAACTTGTTGCAGTAGTCAATTCATTAAACGCGTGCACACTCTGGTGCCGGACGCGCACCCGCCCCAGTACTGGTCACGTGGCCTCTCCTGTGTCAGACATGCTGCCTCTCCTGCGCCTGACGCTTAACATCTGCATGGCCAAAGGTGCGTCTACTCCAAATGCCGGACGGCCTTTCCTGTGTCAGACGCACAACCTTCTATAGCTGTTGGGTCGAAATAATCCTCCCTGAATGTGAAGGGAGGAAATCCTCCCTCAAAAAGAAACCTCAGGATATGGCCCATTTGTTAATCATGGCATGTTTTTTTGTATTTTTTGTTTTGTTTTCACATTCTATAAGTGGAACAGGAGCTGTTTATTATGTATTATACAGGAGCACATATTATAAGCCAGAAGCTATTGCAAAATCAATTCTGTCTTAATTTTGTAGGTAGCATACTGAAAAGATCATGCGTTAAACGGCTGCATGAAATAAATCGCTGGAGCTCTTTATTTTGCAATGTTCCAGTGCACTCTTTCTAAAACGATGAAGCTCAGAAGCTTTTCCAGAACTTTAACCTGCTGTCAAGGAGGGTATTAAGGACCCCGCGAATGTAAGTTGCGGGTCGAAACGGGTTTACGCTTTTGTGTGAACATGGCCAAGCGACGGTTGTCTGAAAATATTCAACATTCAGTCAAGATCGCACAGTGAAAAAAATGCATCGTAGTTTTCAAAACGCACGATCGCAAATCTCAGCAACCAACTCTCGACGTCCGGCGTTGCAGTCACCGCGGGCTTCACGTCGTGGTCTTACACTGAGCCGTGGCCAACGGGCCGACGAAAATTATGATACATCTGAAAGAACTATCTTTTTGAACGCTTTAGGGCGTGAAATCATGCGTTGAGAGAGCAGTCCAGGTGTATACTTAACCTTTGCGACTTTTAGATCGATGATAATAATTGATTGGCCTTTGCAACACCGCGAAGTGGTGCTGAAATGTAAGGGTAGAACTATGAGGGTAAAGGAAGAATACCTATTTTTCGTGTTGCTGTAGTTGGTGACCTGTCCAGGGGCAACCCAATTCATTTCAAGACGGTCGTTCTCGCGCACACGGCGCCCGTCGCCTGGTGCTACAATGCCAACGCCGTCCGGTTTTACGAAAGCTGGTACCCTGGCCATTGCTGTACTTGCTCCAAGGCTGCGAGCGCGTAAGCTCAAACCTTGCGATGTAACTTGATTCACTAGTCGATTCCGTATAAGAATGAACGTTCGCGGGCAAAACCGGGATGGCTTTGTTCATTTTTGATCTCACTTCGACCCACTCCATTCAACACCGATAAGACCCCCTACAAGGCCCCTATCTTTTCCGGGCAAGAGCCCTTGAGCAAAACACTGGGGACACATAATTGTTTGCTGTTAAAGGCTAAAGGGCCATTCGGTCCCATCGCTGTGTGTCTTCCAGCTGCCATTCTGGTGACACGGGGAGGGATCCATGGTCGATCCGGAGCGCCTTAGAGGGATACATCATATTGACAGGAACCTTCATTGGTATAACATAATCCCTGATCACTACAGGTGGTCCAATAACTGACACATAGACCCCAGTTCGGTTTAATGGGTACATGCTGAAATGGAAGTGGAACTGAACTGATACTGAACAAACATGTGCCCCTCCTGCTTGGGTCACTGCATGGAACGTTTATATGACGATGAAATGCTGCCAAACCAACTGTAGGAAATTGCCAACCTCGCAATCATTTGCAATACTTCAATCTCTCAATAGGTCGCGTGGCGGTGCTAGGTGTTGGCTGAGCGAAATGTTATGTGCACGTGTTTTGACCCTTTCTCGTAATGTTCTTACATATTTATCCCTGAGTTTAATGTGTTTACCCGCATTCGCGTACTCAGTTATGGTGCCGTTCAGAAAGGAAATTTTCCACATTTAAAGGTATTGAAGACATGACAAGACAACAGACGTGACGGAATTTAAAAAAAACTTCACTTATAACTAGTGGTATACTTTTAAGTAAAAAAGACAGGTCTAGATAACACAATTTTTCTTTTAAGTGCAAATTCTCCTCAACATGTCACTGCTTGATTGCGTCATCGTGCGTTGCACAACCTTGATTAACAGCTAATTGACGACCGTTATATCTGCAAATTGTGCTCACGAACACCAGATATGAGCGGCATGACGATTATGCTCTTCTTGGCTTACAACACTGCAAGGCCAGTGAAATGACGGGATTTGAATGACGTTATTATGGCGTCCTGGAAGCCTGGGCAGCCGTGAAATAGTCTGCACGAAATAGCCTTCTCATCTTCGCGGGCCATCGAAATGTGAAAAAACTCAGAAACCAGATGGCTCAGAAACTACATGGTCAGAAACTAGATGGCAGGGCTGTGAGCTGTCCGAATGATCTTCAAGATGGCTATTTCAGTTCCAAACCCCATACCGATGTAGAACACTTCCTTAAATGCTTGGAGCCTCAACTTCGTGTTAGGCAACTGACGGACCAAAGGCCCTATGGCTTTCAACTCCTTAGTTTCCTTGGGGCCCTTCGGGCCTCTCGGGACCTATGGATAAATGCCCGATTTGAGGGCCCGAAGGGCCCGAAAGACCGGCCGAATGTCGTATTCAGGGGCTCATCCCGAAGGACCGGTACTTCAGTGTCATCCAGAGGGCCTTACGCGCTGACCAGGGGCTCCCGGAGTCGGTAGGGCCTATATGACGGCCAGATACCACCAATTACGCACTGACGCACGGTTACACCACCATACACGGAGCTGGCTGTGCAGGGGCAAAGCAGGAGTCAGCGATTTACATTGTTCGGGACACCACAGAAGGTCGGGGTCCCTACAGAGCCTAACAGGGGCCCTGTATTGGCAAGGGGCCCGAGGCGGCCAGCGGCAGTGCTCGAAAAAGCCCAAAGAGCCTGGGAGGCCCATCGGACCGACGATCAAGGGTACGATCAGCGGGCTTAAGGGCACGGGGTGCCAGTCGAGTGTCATTCAGGGGTTCCAGCCTGCAGGGACGCGCCCTCAGATGACAATTAGAGGAACCTTCACACCGATCAGAGATATCCTGAGTCGACATGGGTCAATAAGTCGGTCAGGCACCACCAGTACCAGACAGTCAGCTCCGTGTCGATATCGGCCTGATGGCCCACTTCCCAACTAGCTGCGAAGCCGTGGCCGGCGATCTACACTGGCCGGGGCTCCTCTATCTGTCAGGGGCCCACAGCGCCCAACAAAGGGTCCTGAGCTCGCAAGGGGCTCTGAGCCGACCAAGGGCAGTGTTCAAGGAGGCCCAAAGAGAGGCCGTGCGGCTAAGCGGAACCGACGATCAACGGCTCGATTGGAGGCCATAAGGGCCCGAAGGACTGGCTGTAAGTGACATCAAACATCGCGATCCGTGGGGTAAGGACGTAAGATATCAGTCAGAGGTCATCTTCCACTGTTTGAGGAACCATGAGACACTGTGGGTGTCTCGGTCGACCAGAGACCACGTGCACCGAACAGTCGACTACCGGTCAGGCTGTAGCCTGGGGGCCCATTTCCCCTGGAGGAGTAAGACCGGGCGCTAAAACTCGCATTCGTCTGGATTACTGAAACAATGGGATAGGCCCCTGTGTCGGCCGGGGACCCACGGTGTCTAGCAGGGGGTCGCGTGTCAACTAATGGCACCGAGCCGATCACAGGCTTTGTTTGAAGAGGTCCGAATAGATGACCAAGTCAGTCAGAGCAAAGCCCCCCTCGGGAGCCCCCCCCTTGCCCCCCTCGGGAGCAAAGGTCAAGGAATCGATTGGAAGGCTGAAGGACCCGAAGGGCTGGATGAAGGTCATATCTGGCGCACGAATATCCGTCTCGGTGCATCAGCAAATGTTTTAACTGTGTCTCTCAAACCAATGTTTTTTTTCCTTTCGTGACTTCTTGTGACCTCACATCTGACCTAAGGCAACGAATGTAATGTGTATTCTTCACGATTTGAAGAGACCTTCACAGAGGTACCTATGCTCTTCTCTTTCGATACCTGAAAAATAGAGATCCGAGGAGGGAGGGAGCCAACTTCCCCCGGCCGGGGTGTGGTTGTCTTAGACCACGACCGGGTGCGGTTGTCTCAGACCCCGGCCGGGTGCGGTTGTCTCAGACCCCGGCCGGGTGCGGTTGTCTTAGACCACGACCGGGTGCGGTTGTCTTAGACCCCGACCGGGTGCGGTTGTCTTAGACCACGACCGGGTGCGGTTGTCTCAGACGCCGGCCGGGTGCGGTTGTCTAAGACCACGACCGGGTGCAGTTGTCTTAGACCCCAACCGGGTGCGGTTGTCTTAGACCCCGACCGGGTGCGGTTGTCTCAGACCCCGGCCGGGGTGCGGTTGTCTCAGACCCCGGCAGGGCGCAGCTCGAATTCTGCGCGTTCAGAAATAGCTCTATATTCATTGTGATGAGTCCCGACGTTCGCTAGAAAACATCTTTCAACCCTGATACCCGGTACTCGTTACTGGTAGTCGTAGCCTTCCGACTTTGCCGTTTGTGTTTCATGCAGCCCTTAGCGTACACCTCATGCCGGGTGTTTTGATGTGGGAGCCCGGATTGTGTCTCATTTGGACACCTTGTTGTGCATCTTGATATGTCTGGAAACGCCAACATCTAATATGTCAATAATGTATAATGATGAAAGAACACAAATACATATGCCTTAGATGAAAACATAATAATGCCAGTATTACCCATGCTTGCTTTATAAGCTGTCTGATCAGTACTTGTTCGTAACTCATACTCGTTATCAGTTTGTTTTGCCGTGGGCGAGGATCAGTAAAGACCGCAAGCAGTCTCTTTGCTCGTGCGCTTCAACTAAGTATCTATCTACCTAGCTCAACGCCTGAACAGCTCAACCCACCCCACGCTAGCGCGCGCGGGCGGAGCTGTCATCTACCGGGCACCGGTTAGTGCTGCCACCTGGCCCATCAGTCACTGCAGTCACTAGTTGCGTCATTACCTACGAGGTGTCAGCAGGTGCACAAGCCAAGCCGAGCGCACACGAGACATCTCATCACGGTCACCGAAATGAGGAAAACTACCGATAGACAGGAATGTGCAAAAAGCTAGCTGTGCCATAGGGTACACTGCTGGCATGTTGAATGTCGATATATCATGATGATATCATGATGATATCTCTGAACTCTTAAATGTCATTTACATTTTAGCAAATCCTTCGAATGGTGCCCAATAACTGACTACGCGGATCCACGTCTAACGTCTCGGGGTTCAGACACAGTCGTAGAGGCAGATTAACTTAATTTTGAGTTTCTCTCTGCGCACTTATGTACATTATCTGTCCATCCAAAACTGGCGATTTTGTAATGGTACCGATACTGGTGTTTGCCCTACCTCGGATGAAACTTGCTTTTCTCTTGCAGGTCAAATACACGTGCGTCAGGCCTTATATGCGTTCATACCCACATTTCACACGCACGCACACACACACACACACACACACACACACACACACACACACCACACACACACACACACACACACACCACACGCACGCACGCACGCACGCACGCACGCACGCACGCACGCACGCACGCACGCACGCACGCACGCGTACACACACACACACACACACACACACATACACACACACACACACACACACACACACACACACACACACGCACACTTCGTTCTATGGAAGGGAGTGTTGCACATTTGTATGCGTTTTAAATTGAAATAGCTATCTTCAAGATCATTCGGTGCAGCTCACAGATCATCGGTGCAGCCCCTCGCTACACGTAAACCCCCCGATTTGTATGCCACGCGCCCGTAAAGATGTGCAAACTACTTCATCTTTTTCGTGCAGACTATACCAAGGTCACCAGCATGCATGTAGCCATTATAACTTTATTCAGATCCTGACATTCCATTGACCATGCGCCGACTAAGGCCAATAAACATATAGCCATTGTCGTGTCGTTCATACCTGCCGTTTGTGAGCACAATTACTAGATAAAACGGCCGTCGATTGGATCTCAACCATTTTAGCGCAAGGTATGATGACGCGAACAAACAATGACATGTTGAGGAGGATGTCTACGAAATAGGGAAATTATGTAGTCTAGGGCAGTCTTTTCTACTTAGTTTATCAATAGTTAGAAGTGAGCCTTTTCAATAATATTTTTTGCTTGCTTCATTATCTTCAAATGTGGGATATTCTCTTTAAAACGAATACCCTATCTTTTATACGCTTTTCGCTTACGACTTCATCAGACGAGGACGATTTTATTAGTGATGCAAGTTTTCTCGAAATCCTTCTGAATAGTTCAGAATCGCGGTTGGAGGTTGTCAATCCTAAAGATAAATCTTATTTGCCACCCTGCTCATCGCTGAGAGCAATGCATTTTATTTGCTTTGATTTTTTAAGTGTGTGTGTTCTGTAATATTTGCAGCACACTAATGTGTCAAAATGTTTGTGTAATAAATTACATAAAAGCTTGAAACAATATGTTAAAACAGCATGAAGCTATTGTACCGCTAAATCAACGAAACGTCGTGCTATGGCTTTGATCTCACTCCTATGGCCTTTGCCACAGTGCCTCTTTTCGAGGCGCAATTTGGGTCTGGGAATGGGGGTACTACATGTTCCCTGTGACGCGCTGGTTCAAACATCAACCAATGCACTTTTCGGTAACAGGCCCTGCCCGCAGGGCCAATCACAAACGTTCTTTAATTTGCGCCAGTAGAGGTGTGCACAGTGGCTGTCGTGACGACGGTGATGGCGGCTGCAGGGAAGAAGCGAAATGCTATTACAAAGCATTGGCGGCGTGACTTTGAGTCGAAAATAATACAATCTAAATTCATATTATGTCTTGACGGTGCTGCGGCGTCCCTACCCAGTGCTATTATGAGATACAACTAGTCCTGAGGCTTCACTAGAGTATGCTTTTGTAATATGTTCCAAGGGTGGGACACTCCCTTTCAGGGAATGTGTACATGACACGCTAAGGCATCATTCCAGATACTGCTCAACATTTTACACAATGTTTTATTTGGCACAATCGGCACTATTGTCACAAACAGCTACGATTGGGCTTTTTTACAGCCCACCGCAAACCGCACCTCGACCATTGATATGGACATATTAGAACACAATACATCTGACGTACAACACCGCCCATCGGCCGCCGCCCAACACCCCCCCCCCCCCCCCCCGTACTGGGACGATAGGAGCCCTCTGTTTACGTAGATATGATTTGGTCAGCAGCTTGGGCGCATCGAAAAATACCTTGTCGGGACGGCAAGTCTGAGTGTTTGGCGTCAGCTGCTGGCAGGCGCCGGAGCTACAACGGCTGGACCTCGCCACACTCGGCGGGACCGCCACGGGCGCGAGCGCGGTCAGTTATCACAGGCTGAACGGGCGCGACGGCCGGCGGCCTCCACCGGACTGCGCTACAGCAGCTGGTCGTCCGCTACCGGGTGGAGCAGAGACATGTGTTCAGCACCGCGGATGGGCAGCTTGGTCATGGAGTAGTGTTGGATCATCTGCGGGATCGAGTCGAACGGCTTGCTGAACTGGCCCAAGATGAACTTGCTGCTGCCCGCGTCCTGGCGGATCTTCATGTGCATGAAGCCGCGGGCTGACCTGCCGGACAAACGGCGGTCAGCTGCCTACGCCAGCGACGAGCCGGCCGCGAACAGCACACGGGCGTACGAATCAGCACCCCTCCTGCCTACGCCAGCGACGAGCCGGCCGCGAACAGCAGACAGGCGTACCGACCAACACTCCTCCTGCCTATTACTTATCAGCGAATCACGGCGTCAGTGACGAAACAACCATCTTCTCAAACACCACACGTCCATGTTAAGCACAATACTCCGATTAGAGGCGTGTGCGCTGCTTTTGTTATCGCTGTATATGCTGGAGACACGTGCCAGGCTGAAGCCTCACGGAAGGTCTAGTGACAGTGGTCGTTAGGCCTTCCTCAATTAGGTCATTAGGCCATCTGCCGAGCCAGCGCACAGGCCTGCTCTGCGGTGAGAGACGCCACCGCCAACCACTCACTTGAGGGAGAGCGAGTAGTCGTGCCGGCTCGACTCGCAGATGCGGACTAGGTAGCTGCCCTCCTGTTCAGCGCGCAGGATCTTCTCCGCCTCCACCCGCGTGATGGCGCCGTGGTACCACCTGCGCCGCGAGCCCGCCGTTATCGATGACACGGCGTCCGGCGCCGACGCAGCGGCCGACGAAACCCAACCGACAGGTCGGCAGTCCGGCCGCCGGTGAACGTGCCATCATGTGCGCCTCTCAACTCCATCAATATAGCCAGCAAAACGTACGGCAAGTTGTACAAATACAATCAGATTTGTATTGTGCAGCTTCCCAATTTGATACCCACGTGGCCAGCAAAGCTTGTTCGGGCTCAGCCGGCGCGAGGACGCTGTACATAGACTCGCCGTTTTAGTGACAGAGGACACAGTATTTACAACTTGCTTGTCCTTTTATTGAGTGCCATTGGCCAGACTACGACTCATATAATCCCCCACTCGGAACCACCGCGTCAGCTCTAGTCGACTTCGCGCCATTTCTGTGCTACGTGGCGTGCTGTTGCCAGGTGCTGGCACGGTCAGGGGAGGGGCGGGGGCTCCAGCCGGTGACTCACCGCTGTTGCTGGAACGGCACGCTCAGATCGATGCTCTCGCCGACGGCATTAGTGGCGCAGCCGAGACTGAGCGCCATGACGGCGCGGCGCGGCGGTGCGCCGCGCTCAGCCGAGGCCAGCGGCGCCTCGGCCCGGTCCAGACTGAGGCTGAGCGCTGGCCGCTGCACGACCTCCGACACTGCGGACGACGGTCAGGTCCCGGGTGTCACCAGATGGCGGCACGGCGCCGGCGGCTGGCGCGGCGGCCCATCACCACAGCCAGACACAGCTGAGCTATGCTGCCCGCAGCACCACAAACACACAGGCACACGCGCTGTGTTCCAAGACACTCCGCCGCTCGTGAACTGTTGGGGGGACGTCAGGGCTTTTCCAAAGACCTCTTGCCGTGCCAGGCGTCTAGATGTGATGCATAATTGCGTACAGTCGGTGAGGCTAGATCACTCCATCTCGCTCCCTTGTGGCTGGGGTGGGGCTACAGAAGCACGTGATCAGTGAGCGGGCGAGTTCGGGGAGGCAACAATAATAAGACACCCCATCCGAGACCTCATCACGAAAAGCCGAAAAAATTCACCGACGCAAGCGATTACATTGTCGCACACATACGTGCTCAAGCCGAGTGGAACGAACACGACACGGTTCTTCTTTGGGTTTGGTCAGTGTGGAGCTCTTTCTGTCATAAATGACCATTTCAAGGCTGTGGGATTATGGAGAAAAAGGTAAACAGCGGCATGCATGGGTCAACTCTTCACCCGACATCTTGGAGGAACCCCACAGAGACACACAGTTCGGGGACCCCCCCCCCTAACCGGCGTCCATTGTGCCGACCGTTGGCTGACGATGGCAGTACAATTCTAGTAGGAACCGACGGTCCCAGGTTACAGGCTGTGCCTTCATCGGATCCGTCCCAACGGTCAGCATCGCAACGTGATGACAGCCAGCATCTAAATCACAGGCGAGTGTGCAAAACTTACGGAAAAATATGCACCTGCATACTTTGATGCAAACCTTGCAAATAAGTCGTTTGATCGGTTTCGGGCTTCCCACGGGCTTCACCACGGATTCGGCATGGGTTTTACTGCAGGCTTCACCACAGGCTTCACCACGGGCTTCACCACCGGCTTCACTACGGGCTCGGCACGGACTTCACCACGGGTCTCACCACGGACTTCATCACAAGCCTCACCACAGGCTTTACCACGAGCTTCACCACGGGATCGGCACGGACTCCAAACGGGCCTCACTGCAGACGTAACCGGGCCTGGCTCTCCAGCATTTCACACCCGGTATAGCGGTTGCACGAAAACGGACATTTCAGGAGTCTCACAAACTCCACATAAGGAGCTGATCCGCGGCACCATCCATAACCACCACCACATGGAGTCACCTGGCGCGTCCCACCGCCAGGCGCAGCCAACCACCACCACACGGAGTCAGCTGGCGCGTCCCACCACCAGGCACAGCCCACTTACCGGCCAGCGAGCCGAGAGGTGGCGCTGCCAGCGCCGCCGGCAGGGAGCCCTGCGGCGAGCAGAGGCCGGCCGCCGCCTTCCGGCGCAGCTTCGGCATGTCGAACGGCAGCGGGGCAGCGCCGTCGCCGTGCGAGTCGACGCTGATGCCGCTGTCGGAGCCGTGCAGGCCGGGACGGGTACGCGCCCGGCCGGCCGGCTGCCAGGGGGCCGGCCGCGGCCGCGGCGACTCGGTCATCGGGCTGTCCGGATCCTGGGACTTGTCCGAGATGGGTGAGAGCACGGGCAGCTTGGCCGTGGCCAGGCGGCGGTACAGGTCGGCGGAGAGGTGCGCGCGCGACAGCGAGTCGGCGCGCCCGGTCGAGTCGCTGTCGCCGCTCGAGCTGCGCAGACTCTCGAGGCTCGAAAGCGTGCTGCTGCCGCTGCAGCTGTGACGTACACTGTCACCGCTGCCGCCGCTGTACAACAGTTTGGGGGCGGCGGGTGCCGGACGGCTGCCGCCCGGCACCTCCAGACACTCGTACCGGTGGCCGAGCGTGGCGCCGCGCTCTCCACACAGACTACGCGGCCGGCCGGCGGCGCGCGCCACACCCCGCTCGGGCCGGGATGGTACCACCTCCGGCTCAGGCTCCGGCTCCGGCTCCGGCTCCGGCTCCGGCTCCGGCTCCGGCATCGACTCCGGCTCCAGGCGTGACGAGCCGTCCAGCGGCGTCGCACGCTCCGGCCCCGCCAGGCCCCACCGTCCCGCCATTTCCGAACGTCGCTCACGAACGGACCGGCCCGCCGGCAGCGCCACATGCACCTCAGCACGCACAGCCGCCTGCACCGGCTCCTCCGGACGGGGCCCCGTCGGCGACGCGCCGTTGGCGTGGCCCGGCTTAGTCCGCTCGTCGCTGCCGACGGCCGGCGCCGGCCGCGGCTGGTCGCGGCGCGGCGCGGCGGCGGCCGGCGCGCGGCCCGGCTGGCAGGCGAGCCGCGGCAGCTCATCCGGGTCCCGCGCCGGCGGTCGCGCCGTGCTGTCAAACGCCGTCTCATAGAGGCGGCGGCTCATGTCCGTCGGCGCGGCGGCATGACTCGCCTCGCGCCGGTCCAGCTGCACGATCGGGTCGCACGCGTTCACGTAAATAGCCTCGTCGACGTGCTGGCTGAGGTCCTCGCAGCTGCGCGTGAGAGGCGGCGACGCACGCCACTGCGACGCCGTGCGCGGGCGCCGCTTCCTGCCCACCAGCAGCGCGCCGTTGCGGCACACCAGCTGGTATTTGTCCGGGCTTCCGAGCAGCGGCGGCCAGAGGCGCACGTTCTCGTACACTGGCGGCTCGCGGGCCGGGGGCGGCAGCGGCCGAGGCTCGACGCTGCCGCGGCGACTGGCCGAGCCGGCGCCAGGAGACTGGCCGGCCGTGCTCAGTGGCGGCTGGCGGAGCGAGTAGAGCGGGTCCGGCTGACGGGCAGCCGCCGCCGTGCCCTGGGGGCCGACCTCCTCGTACAGTGTTCCGTCATCGCAGACTGGCAGCGAAACTGTAACGGAACAGATCAGGGTCAGTTCAACGATGCCAGGAATAAAGGGTGAACACCGAGCGAGACTGTAACGGAACAGATCAGGGTCAGTTCAACGATGCCAGAAATAAAGGGTGAACACCGAGCGAGACTGTAACGGAATGGATCAGGGTCAGTCCAACGATGCCAGGAATGAAAGGTTCACGCCGCGCCGCACGCAGTGGATCGCTGATAACGAAACCTGCCGAAAATAGCTCTGAGTCGTTACACGCGTTTAGGACCAACATGCAGCACGATATTCATGAACGCTGCGTATCACGATACCCAAGTTGGTTAGAACTTAGAGCACTGGCCCTCCGGTTCATCCACCTACGACGAGTCGCTAGATGCGCTCGCTATTTGCCCCAAACTGGGATGGTTTGTCGACGCGCGGAAGGCCGCTGATATCAGAGGGAAAGATGGACCGTACCAAACATTACGGAACGTCAGGCTTATGCCACAAAACTATGCCGTCCACGATAGGATCACTGGATCGCGGCTCAACAAGTTGTGCCTAGCGTGGGCGCTGATCGCAGAAATCCGTCCCATCAAGAGGTTAGGACTAAAACACAAAATTCTCTCAAAATTTGTGCGTACGGCTGACAGAAGCGTAGTCTCTCACCTGTCAACCCGATAATCTGGTCTTGGGGCTAACAGAAGCGTAACCCCTCACCTGTCAACCCGATGGTCCGGGTTTGGGGCTGACAGAAGCGTAATCTCTCACCTGTCAACCCGATGGTCCGGGCTTAGGGCTGACAGAAGCGTAATCCTTCACCTGTCAACCCGATGGTCCGGGCTTGGGGTTGACAGAAGCGTGATCCCTCACCGGTCGCCCCGATGCTTAGCTAAACTCCAAAGGACGGGCACTTACCAGTTAATGGCAAATCGGTTTGTGGCACCTCAGTATGTCGTGGTGTCTGTAGACCCTTTGTATGACTCTCCAGACACCCTGGCACTATCAACACTGTCAGCCGAAACACCAAGCCAGCAGACCCCAGTCGGTTCCGGCAGCGGCAGCCTGGGAAGGTGGCCCCGTCCGATGCCGTCGGCGCGTTCCAGGCTCGACCCGCTCCACTGCCAGGCGGGCCGCAACACGGGACCCACAACAGGCCATCAGCACCAGCCGCCCATAACTCAGCCGGCTGCTCTGTAGCAACCTGAGCGTTAGACGCCGCTGGCGGACAGAGCGCATTGCAACCGGCGAGGCAGCTGGCGCTTGGCGCCGCCCCGCGGCCCACCGGCTGGCGCGCGCTCGCACACTGACGGGGACGGGCCGGTCAGGGCAGCGCGGAGGTCGCTGCTCGCAGTGCAGCGCGAGCCAAAGACAAACTCGTCACGGGTTGATTTCCTACGACGGCGCAGGATAAGTTAAATGTGATAAGAATGGCCATAGGAGTGGTCCGAAACCCACAGCACTAGCCCCAGAGCGGGCGAGTTTGATGTCTTGAAAGTGCTGATGCGCAAGTTGATTCATACTCGCTGGACGATCGACGCTACCGACCCCAGCTGTTGCCAGACCCGATAACATTTCAGCCTAAGGATCGGGAGAGAGCGTGGCGATGAAGACAGAGCACAGAGGCAGTGTGGATCGAGAGGCACTCCAAACCCGTGCGCCATCGACCGGTCTCTCATTAACTTTGTTGATGCGGCGGCGCGTGCCATCGCCACAGTGAGCCGACCTCATCGCAAGGGAGATGCCTATAGCGGCGAGAGGTCACGTCAGCGACGTGGTCACACAGGCCCCCCCAAGACAGCTGACCTCAGCACCAGAAGGGTGCTTACAGCGGCGAGAGGTCACGTCAGCGACGGGGTCACACAGGTCACCCAAGACTGCTGACCTCAGCACCAGAGAGATGCATATAGCGGTGAGAGGTCACGTCAGTGACGGGGTCACGCAAGTCACCCATGACAGCTGACCTCAGCACCAGAAGTGTGCTTACAGCGGCGAGAGGTCGCATCGGCTACGGGATCACGGAAGTCACCCATGACAGCTGACCTCAGCACCAGAAGGGTGCTTACAGCGGCGAGAAGTCGCGTCGGCTGCGGGATCGTCGAACTGGTAAGTCGCGGCGAGATCTACTAGTGGGCCGCACCGGCACGGGTGAATCCAGCACATGATCTTGACAGTC